GCCTCCTGGACGAGGAGCAGCTAGTCCCGTCCGCTTTGGGGCAGGAGGAGACTTAAAGGATTTTTAAGCTATTTGGGACGGATCTCTCTCTTTCTCCCCCCCCCCTTTTTTTTTTTTTGTGAAGGATATCCTCTCTGGTCTCCTGGAAAAGCTCCCCAGCAAGATGCCCCCATTTTCCCCCTGGGGTGTAATGGCATGCCGGCGGCACCTCGGCCGCCTTTCCGCGGCTGCAAAATACTCAGTACTCCTGCGCTCGGGAGCGCGATTCCGCAGCAGTGTGTTATTAAAAGCTGTATATTTTTTCACTGCACAGTTTAAAAAAAGAGGGGGGGGGAGACTTAATACTTGTGAAAAGTCCTCACACTGTTTAATAGAAACATAAGTGCCTGGCTGGCCCCAATTAACACCTTGTGATTATAATGCATTCCTAAAATGGGGTGTCAGACACCAAATTGTGAATAAAGGTATCTAATTAATCTTCATAGGATGACACTGATAAACAACTCTATATTTAAATAAAGATCAAGGAACTGGATGCCTCTTATTTGTTTACATTAGCAGAAGATAAAGTTAACTACCCTTGCACTTTGCATCGTAATGTCATTTACCGAGACAAACAGCACTCACTGGGTAAAAAAGACCCGACCGTCCTCTGCAGATCCTTTATCGCGGGTTTGGACGGAGGGGGCGACCCCAAAGATTTTCCCCTTTCCTCCAAAGCGGCTGCACAGAGACCGACAGGGAACGAGTGCGTGTGCTAAAAAACGTGCAAAGCCTCCCCAAACAGAAAGCTAGACGTACCCAACCCAGGTCTCACAACTCCGTCTTGCAGCTTTCGGGCAGAAAAGGCTGTAAGATAACTAGCACGGCAGCCTCCTTGCTATTATTTCGGTAGCTCTTGCATGAAAACGGCGTGCAACTGTGAAACTAGAGCTGCGCTGGAGAAGGATAAGTTAGGGTAAAAACACAGTCTAGAGAAAAAAATAGTTGTTTGCACGACGGCAGGCGATACTGTGCAATAGTAGGCAAACTGTTTAACTGCTCAGTGAAGCTGCACAATCTAGTTCTTCGTTAAAGACAACTTGGACTTTCTCGGATGTTAACCGGAATTCACTTGCTACCGTTTCGCTTCTCAGGCAAATGCATAATCTGCTTTCTCACCAGTTACTCTGGCCAAGTGAGAGATTCTGCTCCCCAACGTAATTTCTCCCCCTACAATTAGGCAGACCTAAATCCCCTGTGAAAGGGACGAACCGGGTTTTTAACCATTCGAATCCATTTTTCCTGAATTAACAATTAAGTCGGATATTTTCACAGTATTCAAACGGAGAGATTCTTAGAGCTGCATACATCACATGTATTTATTTTTAATACATCGACTATAGGCGGGTGAATAGCTGTAGCAGGGACAGGCTTTTCCCCGAAAGGGGATCGACTTCAAACGGCTGCTCAGAACAGACTTTGGGTTTTTTTTTCGTTAACAGATCCGCTCTGAAAGCTCATCGCCTCTCCTGTAGGTGCTCTTTGCGCTGACACTTCGGGACTCACTTCTGATTTTTCAACGAAACTTAATTCCTCGGCGCTAATCCCAAACTTCAGTGCGGATATTAAAGACCCAGGTGGAAAAACGGAAAGACCCGCTGCCCCTTCCCCGTCGGCGTTTCCCGCTGCAGGGGTTGGGTGCGGAAGGTGCACGTTTCAGCGACGGCAGCCCCACTTCTCTGGGAGAACAGCAGGTATTTCATGTGCTTCCCATGAAGCCGGAGAGCAAAGCAAATCATAGCCCTCAATGCATTAATGGAAAACCAAAGCACCCAGAGCAGCACCGCTCCGCAATTTCCCAGCGCGCAGTCAGAGGTTTTTTGTTTTAATTCTCAAGTACACGACGAGCTTTTACTTTCAGTCTGAATTTGTTTTCCCCCTTCCCCAAGGCAAGTGATAATGCAGCGAACCGCTCGCCTTTTCATCCCCGACTTGCTATTTTCCATCCTCCTCCCCTTTATGAGGAAAAACACTGTCTTTATTTGAGGCGGGG